GAGTTCAGGCATCTCCTAGAGTCTTAGAACTATCCCTGAGGATAAGGGGGGACTACTGCAGGCACATACATTGTACCAATGCCAATTTCCTGGCTTTGATATTGTACTACAGTTACAAAAAGATGTAACCATTGGGGAAAACTGGGTGAAGGGTACACAGCACCTCTACTATATTTGCAACTTACTGTGAACCTACAATTATTTCACAATTAAAGATTGGAAATCATTTCAACATTATATTTTTGTTGGTTAATGTGAAATAAAACATTTCTATATTATATATGAACCACGACTGATTAGTATATTATAGTACAAATAATTTACCTTCTTAACACTACTTAACCTTTGGAAATATCTCTGAATAACAAAGTGTTACACTTGGAAATGTTTGCTTGACACGGAAAAGCAATGGATCATTTTGGAATACTTAAAAAATATGTGTGTGTGGGTTTTCCTTTTTCTGGGTAGGTATGCATTCCTATGGAGGAGATAAGCAGGGGGAAAGGGAGCTCACATTCATCAGACACCTAGTATGTATAGGAGCCTTCTGAGTCCCTAGAAGGTTGGATGACCCCACATGTGTAACGTCTCATGTTGTTCCTTTTGGAATTAACTAACATTGCTCAAAAGGACTAAATAAAATATCAAATTTTAACATGCTGGATTTTTTTTTCTCTTTTTTTCCTCCTTCAAATATTTGTAGCTCTTTATATGTGGTATTTCCCTTGTGTCAGAAGGGAAAGAGGGTGCCCTTTGGGGAGGTTCTCTTCCAGACTCCTAGAAAACAATCTGATTTACCTTGAACGTACATAGCCTGTACGTATACAGCATGGCCTTGCCGTGTCATTGGATAACTGCAGAGAAACTACTTCAGAGCCACAGAAATAATTTGGACACTTTTACTTTTTATGGAAAAGATGAATTCCCTGGATTTTTTTTCCTGTGAGGATGAGACATTCCAAAGCCCCAGCGAGGTCAGGCAAAGTTCGTCGTTTATTTTTGGTGGGCAGCGCATCTGCTTCCAGAGGTGAGTTGCGAAACCGTTTTCTAGCGCGCACGAGGCTTTCGTCTCTCCGGTGCCTGTGAACGGCTCCCCGAGACGCCCCCTTAATGGACTTGGACACAGCTACTTTTGTTACAAATTAACTTCTGGGACTCAGGCTGCCGCGATTAGGAAAGTCTCGCGATTCGCGGCCGAGGTCACTACCCTCACAAGAATGTACTCTGCACCGGGCCCATCGATGCCCGCTGGTGCCCCTCGCCCTCTCGCACGCAGGGACGCCTCCGACCTTCCACCTCTGCCCTAGCCCCCTTTTGTCCGTGGAGTCCCGTGGCGGCCTTCGCGCGCTGCGGCAGCCGGGATATTGTGATGGGCACCTCCGGCAGCCAATTAACATCCCCACGCTGGGCGGGACCACGCTTGGGCTGGCCGAGAGTGGGGGGGGGGTCGGCCCTAGGCGGGGACTTTTGAGTGACAAAGATGCTGGCCAACCCTCGGAGGTCCTTCTATGGCGCCCCGCCCCTGAGCCGGCCGCCCAGCCCTCGGTTCCGTGACCGGCGCGGGGAATGTCCCGGGTGGAGCTGGCCGAGTCGCCCGTTCTGCTCCACCCGACGCTGCTGTGTGTGCTGGGCCTGGCTCGCGGCGAACAGAGATGGCCGAGCAGTCTGACGAGCCCGTGAAGTACTACACTCTCGAGGAGATTAAGAAGCACAACCACAGCAAGAGCACCTGGCTGATCCTGCACCACAAGGTGTACGATTTGACCAAATTTCTGGAAGAGGTGAGTTGGTGATGAGCGGTTTGGGCCGCAGGGAGCGTGGGCCGGGTTTGGGGGTTCCCTGGCATGACCTGTCGTTCGCGGACCGGAGTCCGCACACGTACGCCTGGGCGACCCCCCGAGTTCGCTCACTTGCCTGTACACACCTGGGAGCTCTCCCCGAGTCCGCTCACCTGCGCGTGTTCCCCTGGCAGCGCCCCTCCGAGTCCGCACACCTGCGCGTACGCACCTGGGAGCGCTCCCTGAATCCGCACACCGGCGCACGCAGTGCCCCTGGGAGCGCCCGGGCTCGGCGGCATCCTCGCAGCGTGGGCCGAGGGCGCACTGGGCAGGAGCGGGCGCCCGAGCCCTGCGGCGGTGCTGGAGCGTCTTATCGGGAGAGCGCGCAGCTACGCCGGGGTTTTAAAGGATCCCTTTCACCGTTGGGTTTGAATAAAAGGGTGTCCATCCAGGACCGGCGGCATTCCCGGAGTGGCGGGCTGGAGACCACCCACCCCGAGAGCCGCGGATCCTGCCTGAGGGGACCTCGAGTGCGGAGGTCGGGTGTGGTCCGAGCCCTCGCTTCCCCTGGCACCCACGGGCCAACCTTGCGGTCCATGCCCACTCGCGTTCGCGTTCACCTGGAGGAGGGCAGGTGTTAATTAACCTCTGCCAGTCACGCTTTGGCAGCCAGGTGTAGTGCTTGACTCCTGAGACCGCGGGGTGTGTGGCTCAAGCAAGTCCAGAGGACAAGGCCAGGTAGAGTAACGCACGTTCTGCTTTGGGGCTCGCCCCTCGCAGCTTTGGAAGGTGTAAAATGACGTCGTTAACTCAAAGGAAGACATTCCTTTGATAAGATTTTTGCTTTCGATTATAATTTTTGCCGCACACACTAAGGCGTTTTTGGCTATTGTCTTAGACCCTCTGGAAGTGTTTTACCACTTTGTGGGAGTCTGAATCATAAATCTTAACAGGTACACAAGCCCCTCTCCCAGTAATGAGAAAGTTTAATGATGGGAATTTTTTACATAGTGGGGAAGCCGGGAGACAGAGGCCTGGTCTGAGCTGGATCACAGTTTACATTAGAGGACTTTGGTTTTGCAGAAAATATTAAAATCAAAAGGCCTGTTTTAAAAAATAAGGCTGGGCCAAGTACCTGGCTCACACCTGTAATCACAGCACTTTGGGAGGCCGAGGCAGGCGGATCATTTGAGTCTAGGAGTTCGAGACCAGCCTGACCAACATGGCGAAGCGCCTAACCCCCAAAACACAAAAATTAGCCACGTGTGGTGGCGCACACCTGTAGTTAGGAGAATCCCTTGAACCTGGGAGGCGGAGGTTGCAGTGAGCCAAGATCAGGCCACTGCACTCTAGCTTGGGCAACACAGTGAGACCCTGTCTCTAAATAAATACAATTACATAAAAATACGGCTGGAGTTGATATTTATTGGTAAGATATTTCGCTCCTGTTTCCATTTAGTTAGGAGGGGCTTATGTTAGGGAATCAGCTGACCTGCCCTCTCCCTCCTGCCCAGCTGTAGATCCTGCCAGATGACATCAGTTATCATTGATTCTAAATGTCTACCTACAACCCATGGTATATGTAATTGTGGAATTTTAAGATACAATGTGTGCTTTGTCTATTCATGTCTATTAAAAAAAGTAACATTTATAAGAGAATATTAGGATTTTTATATTATGAACTTTTTCTTTTCTTCTTGTTTACTCCTAAAAGGAGATTTTTCAACCTTGGCACTGTTGGCATTTTGGGCCAGCTGATCTTTGTTGTGCTGTCTGTCCTGGTCATTGCAGGATGTTGAGCTGCCTCCCTGCCTTCTACTCACTAGATGACTGGATGACTGATACCACCACCTCTCCTATTTTTTTTTTTTTTAATAGAGTTTCGCTCTTGTTGCCCAGGCTAGAGTGCGATGGTGCAGTCTCCGCTCACTGTAACCTCTGCCTCTTGGGTTCAAGCAATTCTCCTGCCTCAGCCTCCCAAGTAGCTGGGATTACAGGCACCCACCAGCATGGCCAGCTAATTTTGTATTTTTAGTAGAGACATGGTTTCACCATGTTGGCCAGGCTGTTCTTGAACTCCTGACCTCTGGTGATCCACTCGCCTTGGCCTCCCAAAGTGCTGGGATTACAGGTGTGAGTCACCACCTCCCCTATCTCCTACCAGCCCTACTTCTCCTATTTATAGCAACCAGAAATGTCTCCAGATATTGTCAGAGGTCCCCTAGGGCATATAATCTCTTCTTGAGAATTACTGAGGTTATTGTACATGACTTTTAGGGGTAGATTTTCAGAAGGAGATAGTAAGGAAGAGAAGATTATTGTTAAAATGTACTTGAAACCATTTACTTTCACATTTCATTCCTGTGAGTCAGGAAAGGAGGGATTGTGCACAAATTTTCTGAGAAAAGCTGAGAGATAAGAAGTTCTTGAGTAAGTAAATTCGCTGAAAACAAATTCCTTTATTCTTAAAGATTTTGTGGAGACTGCGTTTCAAATAAAATGAACAGGAAGGTAGCTAACCCCCTGAATGAAGAGGAGGATGGCCTGAGTGAGGAGGCTAGGGTCTGGGAGAAACGAGGAGTTAGGTTTTGGTCCTGCTGAGTCTAGGCCGTTGGAGGGATTTTCAGGCGTCGGGAGAACTACACGCCTTCTGCCTCCACTGTCTGCCAGCCTGTGGTTCTGGGAAAACGCACGTGGAACTTAGAACAAGCAAGGCCTCCAGATTCCACCTTTTATGGACAAGTCTTTATTATTTGCTTTGACTTTCTGTGACCATCTCTTCTTACTGCATGTACTAGTCATTGGCTTCCCAGCCCCCAGCAAGGCCTTTGGGAGCCTCTCTCTGGGTTCACCCCAGGATTCCTTGCCGGCGACTTCCTGCGTTCCTGGGGTTACCTCTCAAATAAGCTCACATCTCCTCACTCAGAGTTCTTCAGCACGCTGCTCTGCCAGGTGGTTTTACTTCTTCCTACATTCCTCTCATTTCCATTGTTTTATGAGGCCAGTCTGTTTGTCTTATACCTACTTTTAAAACAGAAATGAGCACAGAATGCCTCTGTCTCTCTTCCCCACTTGCCGGGTCCTCTTTCCTGTCTTCTGTTGTTGAAAGGCTCCAGAATTTCATGAAGCCTTTGTGTGGCAACTTAAAAATATTTCATCTCACCTAATTTACCTAAATATGAAAGATTTCTCTTCCCCTCCTAATTCTCAAGTGAACTTTCAGTCATTATGGGCTAGACTGTTTACTAAGTTCCCGCATCTGTATGGACAAGATTTCTCATGGCTGAATATTTCCCCTTCTTGTAGAGTATCCTAGAATGACGTACACGTCTGCGTTCATGTGGAGAAGGTATGTGGTGCGGTGGTGGCAGGATCCTGCGCTGCTGGCTGGTACAAGCCAAGAACACAGGTTGAAGCTCAGTTGTGCAACCTGTGCTCCGACCTCCTGGAATAATGGCCTCTAAAGCTGTTTTGTTGTTCAGGAGGAGGGGTAGAAACCTAAGAGGGAAGACTGGCTGATTATTAACGGCAATCTACATAGCAGCAGGTGCTTAGTCACTGTCTGATACTTAAAAGATTTTGAGCTTTATTGCCTACATATTTTGAACTAGATTTTTTTTTCTCAATCCTGAGTTCTAGTTTTTGAGTTTATATTTGTGAAATTGAGTCTTTGCTTGATCATAGAACTTCAAAGGACAGTTATTTGAAATGAAAACAGGCATTTAGGGCCAGGGGAAAAATGTTTGCTTTTCCCTTTCTGTGATTTGGGCAGCAGCATTTATTCAGTTTTTAAAAGAGCTGTGGAAGGGAGAAAAAAGGTATTCTGTAATTAATAAGTTACATTAGCTGTTGCTTTTGGTTCACATCAGTGGCTGTTTAATTTGTGAAACAGATGCTGTCCTGGAGAAGTTTATAAAGCAGGATGTCTTTTTGTGAAGTTGTCTCTTCTCCCTCTGCATCATAAAAACGGAATCTTGTTTCTATGGAGCATTTTCTAGTGATCCTGGGATTCTGATAGTCTTGGACCTGAGCCTTAGATGTTTTTACAGCATTCTGCCTCATAGAAGCTGTTGGCTCCTGACTCACTCTGAGTTTTGGAGTCTTAAGAGCGTCCTTTCTAGCAGGTTTTGTTGTAGGGACTTGCTGTTTGCTATTTTCCGTTGAACATGGCTGCCTACATTGCATAGTCCTTGTGAAAGCTGCCATATTTAGGGAGAAAATACAAAATGCCTTTGCTTTTTACAAAAAAATTTGATTATATTTTGAATCTCAGGCAACAGGCTGCAATTGGAAAATGTGTCTTTGAAGTATATAAAATGGGAACATTATTATTATTATTTAATATATACTGTTAGGTAAATAAAACTTAGAAATTCTGAAGTTCATAGGAGGAAACTACAAAGGTATCGTTGGTAGTGTTGGTGGCTTAGGCATCTTGGGTAAAGTGATAGCAAAACCACAGCTTAGAAGGCCACCTGGGGCATGTGAACCCATGGGTCTTTTATATATTTCTACATATATCTCTTTATTTTTTGATAACCTGCTGCTACTTTTGAAAAGAGGTTCCAAGAGGCAACTTCGTTTTGAAACAGCAAAGAAACAGCAAATTAACTTTTGCTTTTTGATTATCTTTAAGGTGGATGAAAATTATAAATAAGGAAGGGAGAACACAGGCAGGCCAGCTTTGGTAAATCAAGGAATAAATAATACGCTCAATTCTACTTAATGTGAATATCTGGTATTCTGAAAAGTCCTCCTGTGGAAGATGGCTGATAAGCGCCTTTGTAGTTGAGTGGAGTCTGAACAACCCAGGTCCCTCTGGGCACTCATGGGAAAGCACTGGGCTGGGGTTAGGAAACTGGACCTGGTTATAGACCTATCAAGGAGGTGACCCTGGGCAAGTCAAGTAGTTCAGTCACTTTCCTTGTTCCAAAGTGGGGACTACTCTGTCACTGGCATCTACATTGAGAGAAATAATATGTGTGAAAACATTGGAAAATGTATGTAAAGAGAAGGCATTTAAATGACTATATTTTGATTGAATTAAAAATTTAAAATAAATTGTTATAATTTTTTGTGTGGAAGGTACATTAGTGGGAACATATCTGAGAAATTATGTTAGTAAACAAAATGATTCAAAATACAAATATTCACTTGAAATATGATTTTCCAGGAGTGTGTGCTTTGCATGATTGGAAATCATTCCATTTTGGGAGCTTTTAAATATAACTTTAAGGGGAAAATGATACATGATCATGTTAAGGAATTGGACAGTGTGGAAAACTGCAAAGAAGAAAATCAAAGCTGCCTGGAGCTCTGCTACCTGAAGGTGGCTGCATGAGCAGTTTGCACACTTGCCACGCAACGCCCTGCTTGTGGATGTGCTTCACAGCCATGGATATGTGCTCTGCATGCTGCTCTGTAATCTGCCATTTTCCCGCTAAATAGATGTTGAGGGAGCAGTTCTGAGTTTTAGTAACTCCTGTTCCCAGGCTGCCTCCTGATTGGATAGAGGGATCCTAACCTACAGAATCCTCTCTCCTTGCTCTGTTGCCCAGGCTGGAGTGCAGTGGTGCGATCTCAGCTCACTGCAGCCTCAGTCTTCAAGGCGCAAGCATTCTTCCCTCTTAAATAGCTGGGAACAGAGGTGTGAGCCACCATGCGCAGCTGATTTTTGTATTTTTTTGTAGAGATGGAGTCTTGTGTTGCGCAGGCTGGTCTCAAGCACCTGTGCTCAAGTGATCTGCCCCCTTTGGCCTCCCAAAGTGCTGGGATTACAGACATGAGCCACGCTACATTTTGTTGTGTGCTACCAGAGCACCCTGGGTGGTTTGTCCCATTGGGACTCTGAGGGCTGGCACGGCAGTGTGTGCATTTCTCAGTTCCTAGGAGCTGAGGAACTTGGTGGCACCTTACTTGCCTCCCTTCCTGAATTATTTGGCTGTGTATTTCTGTCAGAAGGGGAAATGTATGGAATAATTTTTTAGCACCTTTAGCTTACAAATTCTCTTAAAAATGCAGCTGTGGCGATAATACCTGTGTATTCTATGAAAGAATTTCATTGTCTGAAGGCTCAGAGCATCAGAAGAGTGATGGGAGGCCGCAGCTGACTACTAAGCTGAGTAGCAGGCTCAGAGCCATTCCCTACATGTTAATCCAGTGCGCTTTCTTCCATGTGACTCTTGGACCTAGTTTTCTTGGGAACATAGTCTTGAGTGTAGGTAGTAACTGGATAACTATAGTAACAGAGAAACTGTCATTTCTCTGTTCAGTGCCTCTTCAGAATTCTAACATGGGGACCGGGAGGGTGAACTGAAGACTGGGTGGGGACATCTCAGTTCTTGCTGTTGAATAGAATCTGGCCTGTGCTGCCTGTTGGCTTAGGGAGAGCTGACATCTCTGTGGCTGGTGGCTAGAAGTTACTTTCTTACATCTGTAGAATTGTGTCTCTAGACAGGCCCATGCCAAAATGATGTCATGTGAACCAGCACTGATGCTGGGGAGGCTCTGGAGGGTGCAGAGGATAAGGGATGTGGACTTTGGGGAAGGGTAGGGTGATTAATAGCCTCTAGGCTCAGTTAAGGGTCCCCTCTGCCTGGCTGGTGGGCACGGAAGCCTGTTTGAAATGGAATCACTTGAACTCTTCTGTAGCTGAAGGCCTTGGGAATATCCGTTTCTAGCTTGATTCTTTTAGTGCCTGCTATTGTTTGTTCTTGGCAGACCTATTCATCAAGCTTTGTGCAGCTGTGTCCAGAATTAGCTGGGTCGAAAAATATTTTCAGCCTTCTTTCCCTCTTCTCAGAAAGTGTTAAGTAAATGCTATTCTTTAATCCTCCCATCCTCAGCAGTCCCTAGTGAGCTAATAAGAAAAGTGATAGCAGTGGACATTGGCTCTATGTTTATGGACATAGAGTGTTTTTTGCACATAAAAGCTTTGTGTTTTTGCTTTTATTTATTTATTTATTTTGAGCTGGAGTTTTGCTTTTGTCCAGGCTGGAGTTCAATGGTGCAATCTCTGCTCACTACAACCTTCCACCTACCGGGTTCAAGCGATTCTTTTTCCTCAGCCTCTGAAGTAGCTGAGATTACAGGAATGCACCACCATGCTGACTAATTTTGTATTTTCAGTAGAGATGGGGTTTCATCATGTTGGTCAGGTTGATCTCGAACTCCTGATCTCAGGTGATCCACCAGCCTTGGCCTCCCAAAGTGCTGAGATTACAGGTGTGAGCCACTGTGCCTGGCCTGTGCTTTTAACCTTCAAAACAACCCTGTGGGATTGGTGGTGACAGTGTCCTCCCTTTTAAAGGTTAGATAGTGTGGCTTAGGGAGATTTTGCAACTTGCTCAGCAAGTCCCACAGCCAATAAGGAGCAAAGGCAGGGCTTCAATCCAGGCTGTGGGCGCTGCGGCCCAGTGTCTTCAGTGCTGAGTCTGCTGCTGAGGCTTGAGACCCAAGGAGTACCGAAGAGAACTAGTATAGCTTTGAAAGCAAAAGTCCATCCCACTGATAGAGTTGCTGTCATTTGCTGGAGACTTCCATCACTGAGGAATTCTCTCTAGGAACCAGGGAGAAAGCAAAGGGAATTTGTGATGCAAAGATCTGAACAAAGTCAAAACCCTTGGAAGGTTAATAGGCAAAAATCTGCTTTTCTTTCCATCTGTTGTCAGTTTACTATGTTGCCTTCTAGGAGGTGAAGGAAACAGCCATTCTTGTTTCTTGTAGAGGAGTTTTTAAATAGAGTCGGGTGGAGTCTGTACAGTCTCTGTTCCTGACCTGGATGCTGCTGTCACCAGGCAGGGGCTGAAGCATCGGTGTGGTTTTGGTTAGGAAGCTGATCGCTTACTCGTGTGGTGTGTGTGTGTGACGAGGCCAGTGTTGTTTTGGAAAAGGCCTCTTAAATGACTGCCCTGGCAGGGATTGATTAAATGGAAATCAGAGGAGGTTCCTGCTCTGATAAATTCCTCAGTGGGTTCAACTAATCTCTCCCCTGCCCCTTCTGGGTCCACATTCCCTCTGCATTTGCCATGTGGTTGGCTGCAGGGTGTTAGAACATCTTTCTCCTCCAAGCTGAGAGCAGATGCCCTGGCATGGCCTCTTTTGTGTCTTTGCCACCTCTCATGGTGGCCCCTGGACAGGCAATTCTCAGTATTTCATTAGTTCCATCAAATGGGTGGCGGTTTTATGAGTTTTCAGCTTGAGTAATATATGCTATTTATTGCATTAAAAAGTGAGATTTCTAGAAGAAACGCACCAAAAAAGCCTTTATCTTTTGGAAACAGATTGTCATTTCTCTGTTCAGTTCCTTTCAATGGCTTCCTGTTGCATTGAGAATAAAATCTTATCTCTTTGCCCTGGTTTAGAAAGCTCTGAGTGATCAGACCCTTACCTACCTCCACCACCTCAGCAGATAACACACCCCTCCCTGCTAATGCCCACACCTGATCACATTGACCCTCTCTCTGCTTCTCAAACAAGCCAAACTTGTTTCTGCCTTAAAACCTTTGCCCTGGTTTCTCCTCAGTCCCGTTTAGGTCTCAGCACAGTGTCCCATCCTGTTTTGTGCCTCTGCTCACAGTTAGACCAACTGGTTGTGATACGCTGCCTGTCTGTCTACTGCTTTCTCCACGCGATGAGGGCTCCTGCCTGCCTGGCTGCTGTGCACCCGGCCCTTGTCGGGTGCCAGGAAGTGACTCTTGCCGGGATGGAAAAGGAGAGCCTGGTGGAGGAACAGACACAAGCCCCTGTTCTGTGACTATCTTATTTTTTCTCCCTTTCTCCACACACGGCACATACGCGTGTGATTCTTCTTACTCTGTAGACCTTGGCCTGAGATTTTGGCCCTGAGAATTGCGCACTTAGAAGCTAGTGGGACTTTATTGTGAAAGTCTGGATTGTGACATTGTCTCAGAGCTTAGAACACAAGGCATAGAGGAAGGCTCCCATGAAGTCACTAGAAAGAAAGGGGAGAATTAAAGGGAAGGGAGCACATTTGTCTGCATTTTCCAATCTCTTCCTGCCTGAGCCCACCTGAGATCCAGTTCCCCTTCTCACTTACAGAAGTTCCCTAAGTCACCTGCTGATCCTTGGAGGATGATTCCAGGTATAAACCAGGCCCCTAGGGGCCTACACCCTGCTGGATTATTCTCATTAGTGTTCCTGCTGTTTTTTTTTCTCCTCTCCTACGAAGCACACACTCCCTTCTCCCCTGAAAAACACACACACACAGACACACACACACACACACACAAATACACACTCTCTTCTGCAAAGCGCACAGAGTCCCTTCTCCCCTGAAACACACACAGACACACACACACACACACACACACGCCACACACACACACACACACACACACACACACACACACACACACACGGCCTCCCTTGACTCTCCTGCCCTCTCCAGGATTTTTTCTGCTCCCCTATGTAGTAGAACCCTCTGAAAGGGTTAGGCTGGGACTCTAGTCCACCTCCTCCGTTCCCTTTTATACCACACCTGCTCACTGCAAGGGCTGTGGTTGCCAAGGTCTCCCGAGGTGCCTTGTCAGTTCTCAGTTCTCAACACAGTGGCTCAGCAGACTCTGACGTGGATGCTTGCCCCCTTGGGTTGCCGTTCCCTCCTCCCTCCACCTTCTGTCTCCTTTTCCGAGTCTCTTTGGTTTGACCTCCTTATTGGAGGGTTCCCTGGGGCCTGGGCTTTTCCACTTTGGCAGGCTTACACAGTAGCATGGCTGTAATGTGCTAATGACATCCTGGCCAGAAAGACCTCTGTCCTGAACTGGTTCTTGTATCCCTGAGGCCAGGCTTCTCACCACAAAGTGTGAAACACTTCCTGTCCCACACTGGCTCCCTCACACATCCCATCTCAGCAGATGGCAGTTCCATCCTCCCAGTTGTTCAGGCCCAAATCCTAGGGGTCGTACTCCTCTCTTCTCTTGTTCTCATCTCCACATCCAGTCCACCAGGATGTTCTGTGGGCTTAACTTTCATAATGTCAGAATCTCACCATTCTTTACCATCTCTGATGCTGTTCTCCTGGTTGGTCTCCTCCTG